CAGCCACAGATTATTATTACAAGCGGAACTGAATTGTGCGCCGTGTGCGCGAAATAGATAATAATCAATAATAATAGATGGGGCAAATGTTATAATATTATATCGTCGATGTTGCGTGAACGCTAACGTTTCAGCGCGATGCCCACAGATTCGTGATAATCTCCGCGCAGTAAAATATCAAACATTAACAAATTGAGTATGTTTCACGGATCAGTATGTTAATTGAAATGGAAAGGCAAAGAGAGAGAGAGAGAGAGAGAGAGAGAGAGAGAGAGAGGGAGGAGGAGGAGGAGAAAATTCGCCATGCGAATTATCGTATGAATAAACGGCGCAACACGAGTCCACCGTGCACGCGCGCATGCGCAGTGGATTACGGATTTTCGCGAAAAAATTCTCTGATACTGCGACGGTAGCCCTTCATCGGCTTATAGCGGCGGTGAACAACCGCAGTTGCAGCTGCAACCGGTCGTAAGGAAACTGTCAGCGACGCACGTGCTCCGCTCCGCTTCGCGGAGCAGCGCCGATGGCGGCGGCGGCGGCGGCGGCGGCGACGGTGGCGACGGTTGCGGCGTCCCCGCCGCGCGAGTGGACTTATTTCACTATTTTATTAGATTAAATATTCACGACGCGATAGTAACAACGGAAAGCCGTAGAAAAACGCAGTGAAATATGACACGGATCCCCGCCGCCGCGCGGAGGCTGCACGGCGCTATCGTGTAAGGAATAGAGGTCATTTCTGCATCTTTAATGCGCTGTACAAAAGCGGCGCATGAATAAATTGAACGTCGCCGCCTCAACCACAGCGCGACGGTGGCCCTTTTACCGTCGCATTTGCCTCTCTCGCTCGACGACCGCTGTGCTTAGCCGACACGCGCTCTTTATCCGCGGGAGATTCCCATCTGCGTGATAAAAAAGATCATCGCGCATATCATCAGTCCTGCCGATGTTTTGTTAATCGGGTATTCGGGTGAGGTAAATTAATAATATTCCACGACATTTGGCGCTTTGCATCTGGTATCTGAACTTTTTTCTCTTTTACCGTTTCCGCTTTAATTCGCATCTCTCTCTCTCTCTCTCTCTCTCTCTATTTTTTGCACTCGTTCTCTCAAAAAATTCATGAAACAAAGAATTAATTTATCGCTGAAGTAAACGAACCGATGGAAACGTCAGTTTGGCGAGAGTTACGAGTTTAAGAGTCAACCGCTGCGTCACGTTAAACTTTTCAATCATATTTATTACGACTGAAATCGATTACGATTTATTTATTGGAAACGTGAGAATGGCTAGTCGCGCGATGTCAGTAATGAGCTCTTTTTTATTCCGGCGGACAGGTGTGAGACAAATATTCTTTCTTTCTCTTTTTCCTTTTCTAAAGAATGCCGTCGATCTGTGTTGTGTATATCTTTGAAGAAAAGCACACAATTGTAACAAAAATATTGAATTTATTCTTGCTTCTAATACTTAATCCTTCATATCGCACGAGGTGTGAGTATTGCGTATGAAAATCCGAAATGAGCATTCGGAGCGTTGAAAAACAATAACGATCACGGTGAGGTCAATGATAGGGAAAGCGATGTGTTTACGTTTGGAAGATAGAGACGCGCGTCATAAAAACGATGTCGTGATAGAGGTAGGCAGTTAGTCGCTGTTGGACGCCCGAAGACGTTACATGTGTCGTCGTAGACGTGCCGAAGTAGACGTGCCGAAGTAGACGTGCCGAAGTAGACGTACCGAAGTAGACGTGCCGAAGTAGACATCGCCATCGTGCAGAAGGTTGGTGAGTGTTGATCAAATCATTGGTTTCTAATGTTAAATCGGGTGACCGGGCATCGCGAGCATTGTCCCCTTACACAATTAATTGATTTCTCTGAATTCCGAATACCGGTGTCGTCGTGCGTTTCCCCTTCGACATCGGTCCGATTCAGATGTTTTCTTAATCGCCAGACCGCGCGGGCTCGCCGTGCGTTTTCCAGTACGAACTAAGTGATCTGAGCCAGCAGTTAAGAGGGACATCTCGTGCGCTTTCCCTTGATGTCCATTGTACCTCTTGGTGCTGGATGGTGAGCTTTAGGCTGGGATACGTTGGTGATTTCCTCGAGCGCTTTCCCTTAAAGATCTCCGACTGTTCGCCAGCGGTTCGAGTGTGCTCATATCCACTCGGACCGTCATTTTTAATCAATTATCGCGTGAAGTAATCGCGCAAAAGCCCGGCTCGGTGTTCTGGCACTCGGCGCGTCTTCGCATCCCGCTCGACCTCCACCGACGGGCGTCTGAATTATATTATCGTTATACTATCTATTGATTTTTTTGTGTTTACTACCTCGAACTGCTCGTCTATTGATTCGGCTCTTAGTGTGTATGCATAAGGCAAATAAACAAAAGAAGGAAGGTTGTGTCTATAGGAACTCGCTCCCGTGTTATTTATACATCCTATACGTTACTCTTGCACAGGTGATCCTGCAAGAATTATGACGCTTACGGCGAGATATTTTTTTATGATTTAGCGAACAGCCTTGGCTTGATGAAGTAAAATATCACGCCGCTAATGACCTTTAATGAATGAAAATGAATGGCAGACGTACATGCAATGCTTCACGGTTGACACGCATTTGCCGCGTGATAACACCCCGGGGATTTCGTTATATACAGCGCCGAACGTACGTACGTACGTGCGTGCGTGCGTGCGTGCGTGCGTGCGTACGTGCGCAAGTGCGGATGGTCGTTTGTATCGCAATAACAAAGCAACAAATGTTTCAATGAAAATTGACGTTCGTTATTTCGCTTAATATCTCTACGCACGTGACGATACGCAACGCCGCATCGAGCGTGTAAGCACCGCGCTCACAAGCAAGTGGCCATTTTTCTCCCGCGCGCGCCGTGTGATTTAACTCGGCGCGATTTATTTAAAGGCGGCAGATTAATCTCTCCGAATTGAACGCGAACAATTCGCCGACGATATTTCGATTTTGTCGCGAAAATGGAAATGCAACCCGCGAGAAGTTCTGTTTCGATTATCGAGAGAGAGAGAAAGAGAGAGAGAGAGAGAGAGAGAGACTCTAAAAAAATCGAAGAAAATGAAAACAGGAATCGTTTATGCAAAAGGACCTTGTAGTTTTAACTCGCGATAATTTTCAGCACTCATCCGTGACGTAATCTCGCGTGACATTTTAGCTTCCTTTTTTTCTCGTAATTTTCGTTCTTGCTCGTACAAATGTATTCACCTCGAAGCGCAAGAAGCCGCACCACGCGTGAGCAAGACTCGCTCACACCCGAGCGAACGAGCGAATAATCGCGAGGCGGCGGATGTGCCGCTTTATTTGCCGATAGTCAAGATAATCGCAGCGGCCCGCATTCGATGTTAAGGAGCAAACATCTTATTAAGGGATTCGTCTTGGCACGCTACGCTTCCGACCGACCCGAATTTAATGGCGGCGTAACGAAATAGCTTCTCAGGCCATTTCGCAGAGGCCTCGTTATCTTGTTAACGATCGGAGCGCGTCTATTCGTCTATTTCGAGCTTCGTCAAGACGGCATGACTATATAGCGTCACGAGAGGGAAGCATGACTAAGATATTTAGCGGTGGGAATACGCTCATATTGGAACACGTTTTGCTTGGGAAAATGAAGGGACAGAAGCGCGAGAGAGAGAGAGAGAGAGAGAGAGAGAGAGAGAGAGAGAGAGGGAGGAAGAGAAGCGGTCGATATTTCGGTATATCGCTCAATCGCGTGAAAATGAAAATCGTGTAAACAAAAATCCGTCGTTGAAGGCAGAACTTTAGGCAAGAATAATATCGCATGCGTCTTTGCACGCGATCCCATCGTCGCGTGAAATGAAATTAGCGGTCTGTTCCATAGCTCGTGTTACATAAATCAGTCGCGGAAATGCATTATGAAATTCGCGATGAATTTTAATCCAAATGCGAGAATGCTGACGTGAAGGGAGAAAGAGCACCGCCGTGTACGAGATTTATGAATATCTCAACTAGTCTCGGACTCTTCCATCTTCCATTTTTAATGGCTGTTAATATTTTAATATCGATGAGACAAATATTTCTCGAGCTCGTGTTTCTCGATACCTCTCGACGTATCCGGTACTTCCCGCTGTGTATATCTCCGATTTATGCAAAGTGTAGTCGGTATCGCCGTACGGAGATGTTCATGTATCTCTCCCCCTTCCTCTCCCTTATTCTTTCATTCTCTCTCTCTCTCTCTCTCTCTCTCTGTCATTTCTTTCTCCTTCTTCCTCTCAGTTGCTCACTGAGACGCGGAAGCGCGAGCATACGTGTGTATACGTCGTAACCGTATCTTAAATATACCTCGGCCGTACCTTTCCACAGAGACAGTCACCTCTCTGTCACAGACAGCACAACGCCGCCGCTGCAGCCGCGGCGACACAAACAACGACCACGACGAACTTTCTGCAAACACGGTTCGCGCTTATGCGGTTGTTAATATTATAATATCGCTCGTTACTGCCGACACTGACAAAGCTTGCGCGCGGTCCTTCTTTTTCTTCTTCTGCTTTCTTCTCCTCTTCTTCTTCTTCTTCTTCTTCTTCTTCTTCTTCTTCTTCTTCATCATCATCATCACCTTATTCTTCTTCCTCTTCTTCTTCCTGCTGCTCGTCTTTTTCTTTTCAGCCCGGCTATTCGTTTCGCAACATATACGCGAGACGCGACTTACTACGGGTCGCTGCCGTCCGCGACATCCGGCTGGTGCAGAATAGAGAGAGCGCGCATGATACCGCCCGAATATCATACTTGGCGAATGCGGTTGCAGTGTCGCGGAAGCGAGGAAATTAGGCAAGGTTGAGTGTGAATGCAGCGGGAACACACGCGGAGGAAAGGACGCGCGCGCGTGCACTTCATCTCGCTCCCTCTCTCTCCCCGTTTGTCGGCCTCTTTTCTCTCTGTCCTTCCGCTAGTAAGGGCTCGGTCGCGATGATTAAAGAAAGAAACGGGAAAGCAGGGGAGGGCCTGGTGAGAGAATGCAAGCCTCACCTGTACTTTGGCTACCACGTAGCTTCTGCTCTGGCCTCTCGACCCTCTCCTCACTCGGCGGAGGTGGTCTCTCTGTCCTTTTCGGATAGTAGGGGTTGTACGAGGAGGGCCACACGGTGGTCAGCCTTTTTGCTGGCGGTGGCGTGCTCGGTCGTCCTGAAAATAGATTAGGACCTTTCTCATCTAACCCAGGCACTCTCCGTTTGCTCCCTTTCTTTTTCCTCTTTTTTTTTTTTTTTCCTGTGTGTGCGTCTGTCTTTTTTTTCGCCTCGGTACTCGCCGATAATCCAGTCGCGCGGTGTATCTCCTCCTCTATTTATCTCTCCCGCGCAGTGCTTTCGCTCCTGTGCCTGAATTTTATCGTATGCGTGTATATGCGCGCTACTCCACGCCATGCAAGGCCGCAGCGGCGAAATTATACGCGACACGACGACGATGACGACGACGATGACAATTTTAGCGCAGACGTCGCGAGACGGCGACGCGACGACGACAATACAGAAAGAGACAGCGCGCGTACGGTGGACGAATCTAGCTTTAGAGCGGATTCAGGTGCGTGGAAAACGAGCCTCTGCTTTGTGCATTTCTCAGCGTCATACGCCAGTCGCCTGGCGATTATACTCTTAAACGTCTCTATTATCTTTGAAATAATTTCGGTCAACATCGAATAGAGAACACGGGAAGCGAGTACGTAATACGAATAGAATGAAAAACAAACTCCGGTTCGTGCAATTGAGGTTTTCCGCCGGCTGGCATCTGTATTTAATAATTAACATTAAAATTTTAATGAATACACACTTTCATTGTGAACGAGTGTTCTCGCGATGCCCGTTTGCCGATGCATGTTTTATTCTCGATAACGGAGATATCGTTTCTTGCCGCTTGATTCTCGTTTGCGGCCCCCATTCTGCGGCGCAACCGAACTAACAAGTAAACCTCGGGGAACGTCAGACGCCGATTTGTTTCCAATTTTTTATAATTATTTTTAATGTCAAAATATAAAGAAATCTGTTCATCAAATCATTTTTAGCTTAAATTAATTTTTTCAATTTTTTCGAAATTTCTGAAGTTTTGCACAAGTACATTATTTTATATATGTTTAAAACAGTATTTCTTAAAAATGTATATATATATATATATATCTGATTTGTTGAAACTTGCACACATGTCGCCCATTATGAGTCAGAACCATTTTGTAAAATTCAAAATGGCGGATCTAATATAGCTGACGTCATTGTTGAAAAAGTGTTCAGCTTTACGCTACATTCGACGTTGGGTAATCTTTCGGCCACTATCCAGCAAACAAGCTCATTTCAACGTCAAAATCTGGTAAAAAATGAACAAGAAGCGAACAAAAAAAAGAATAAGAAGAAAACCTTTTTCTCAGAAGATTAATATGTATAAAATAGCGTACTCGTGCGAAACTTCAAAAATTTCGAAAAAATTGGAAAAATTAATTTAAGCTAAAAATGATATCAGATTTCTTCATGTTTTGACATAAAAAATAACTATAAAAAATTGGAGACAAATCGGCGTCTGACGTTCCCCGAGGTTTACTTGTAAGAAGTAAGCGAGACGAAGCGAATTGCCACGACAGATGTATTACGACATTCGCGCGATGAACGGAACGTAATCCCGAGCGGCTACGACGGGGAACATACGCGCGGGCACGTGGCGGGTTTGATGAATTCTACGAGCTTCTTTGAAAACGAGCCAAGTTCAACTTGTTGCTCTCGATGCCGACGGACGTTCCATTGAACAAAATGCCTTCTCACGAAGTAATCCCGCGACAGAAAGGAGAGGGGGCAGAGAGAGAGAGACAGAGAGAGAGAGAGAGAGAGAGAGAGAGAGAGAGAGAGAGAGAGAGAGGGAGAGAGAGAGCCTGTAGAACGCGACCGCAGTTTCGCGCGAAGCGTTCATCTCGCGCGCGTTCTATTTTTCCCTTTCTTTTTAACTAGCCACGCAGTTTGGCACGCGAAGAGACGCCGCGTGTGGTTTTTCGAGCACAACGCCTCCCAGTCCGTGAGGGCTACCATTTTCGCGTCTCGTCAAGCGATCAAACTCCGTCCATGATATTCCTCAAGCGTAATGATCGAGCCTTGCTCTCGGAGCGCGCTGCCCGAGAAAATAAAAATATCACGGCGACGTCTCGGCACATCAGTGTCGATCGCAGCGGCGCGCGACTCGGCGATAAATCTATAATCTCGCGGCAGTATTTCAGGACAAGATAAATCGCGTTGTCGAGTCAATCCCGCGGAACCGCGACTATCCTCAACAGACAGAAAGCTGTAATTATTGACGAGGAGCGATCGCGCCCGCCGCTTGAGCGTCGCGATGATCGCGAGGTATTCGCCGAGCTCCGCGCTGCTGCACATGAGAAAAAGGTCACGCCACGTTTAATTCAATTACATCATCGGCAATGTGGGATTATAGTCTACTCTGCCAGGCGGAGTCTTATCTTGGTGAGTAGGAAAGCGCATCCCGGGAGAATCGCATCTTTCGCCGACGGTAGATTGAAACTTTACTTACGCGATAATTCTGTAGGGCGCGCATCTAGCCGGGGGTGTAATTCAAGTTGATATTCACCACGGGGCCTGTATACTTTTACGGGGCGGAGAACCGCCTTTCGTGACTCTCGCGGGCGAGAGAGAGAGAGAGGAGGGGGGTGAGGACGGGGGAAGAGGAGAGGCGGTTTGACGCTTATTTCGTCCGCCATAATCGTGCAGATTATTCAAACTACCATCGTCCGCCGCGGTCCCGCGCGTGCCGTTCGTCCGCGCGATCGCGAAAACTATGTCGCGAAGTAATTCAAAGTATATATGAATTATACCGCAGGTGCGACCGTGGTCGCAAGACGCCGCGCCGCGCGATGCGCTCGTGCGCGCGCGCGCATTTAGTTTTATCTCTTCCCTTCTCGGCGAGTCACCGGCGTGAAAATATCAATCTTGCGAATCCCATTCTTCCGCTTCGGGATCGCGTCGAGAGCGACTCGCGCGGCGGAGTTGAAACGAGACAACAGCGGGACGAGGGGACTTCCCGACGCGGAAGTTAACGTATGTAACCCCTTCGCGCGACACGTTGCAACTGCAATTTCGCCTGCGCCGCGACACGAAAAACGTCCCCGCAGAGTGTTCCGGAAGTCTCTAATACATTTACCGGCACAAGTGTTTTAAACACTCGGTGTGTCGTACAAACGTCACTTAATTAATTTCCTCGGATGAAGCCCGGCTCTCCCTCTCTCTCTCCCTCCCTCCCTCCCTCCCTCTTTGTTAAGTAAGTCTCGACGCTTCTCGAGTCGCTTTCGTTCGAACGAACTCTGCGTTCCGCAGCTCGACGGTGGCCGACGATGTACCCTTAAGCCCCTTCCCTCCCCCCAGCCAGCCCCCCAGGCCCCCCGGTGTACTCACGAGCACACCTTCACCGACACGACTCTCTTTCGCCTTCTTCGTCGCTCCCCGTAGTCTTTTTGGTTTGCAAACAAGCGACCCTTTAACCCGCCCGGCCCGCTAACTTGGCGCCCGGCCGGGCACTAAAAAGTTTTCGAATAAAAGTTTAAATACGCCCCGGACGTGAACTTTGTGTTTCGTGGCCCTGCCGCCGCGGCCCTCCGACAATATGGCGGCTTCTGGGTCACCTGCTTTCCGCCGTCGGCGCCGGAGCGCGGACGCATCCGCGTCTCTCTCTCTCTCTCTCTCTCTCTCTCGTAGTGTCGTTTGCGCGAGCGTGCTCGCGCCGTTTACGAATAGGTTAACGGTCTCTCCTCTCTGAAAGCGGGCAATCACAACGGGGCTCGTATTTCATCCGGTCTCCCCGCGCTCCGCTTTGTTACCCTTTCCCGGGATGGTGCGTCGGGGCTTGTTTGGGAAGTTTCGAAATAACTCGTTGAAAATTTAAGAGTCTCGCGGCGCCTCCTCCAAAGTGCCGCAGCGAGCGCCAAGTAGAATTTGTTTCACGCAAGCAGCAAAAGCGAGAGGAGGCTAAAGGGGTGAGATAGAAAGAGAGGAGAGAGGATGGACGAGAGGAAAACGCTGGCTGGCTGGCAGGCAGGCAGGCAGACGGGAGAACAGATTCGCGGATGCAACCGTGGGAAATAAAGTGGCGCGGAATGACTTTATATTAATCGCCTCGGTCTTCGATTCACCAAAGTGCACGATCGCGCCTTTCCCATTCCCGACGAGCGACGATCAGAAAGATCGCTCGCTCGCGCGCGCAGCGCTTTGGAGCGCGCGCGAACTAAAATTCGCTCGCACGGGAGGAGAGGCAGAGAGATAGATCCTCTCCCGCGCGTTTTATAAGTCGAATGTAATTATACATGAGTTATATACACGGTCGGAAGTTAGCCGAGCTCTCTCTCCTAACAAACTATTCTTTCCGCGTTTCAGATTCCGCGCTTCTCCGCGCGCGCGCCTCGGAAAATTTACACCGGAGCGAGAGCGTTGAACGCAGCGAAGTTTCATCGAAGGCTCCCCGTTTATACCGCCGCGTCCGATGGAGTTTGATCTGTTTAATGAGCAAATTGATTCTATATAACCAACAGCGAGGAGGGAGGGCGACGGAGGGAGGGGGAGGGGGCAAGCATCCCGTTTTACTTGCTTGAACTTTTTAATCGACGTGAAAATCGAGGGGGAAGAATTCGCGCGGCGGTATTAATGATTCTAATCTTGCCGAAGGTGTATGAGTCGTGCTTCGTGGATTATAATTTATGGACGTTGTCATCGGGGCTGATTTTTCCGCGCGAGGGCACCCCCCTTGAGTTTGTTCGTTTGAATGAGAGACGCTTGCGACCAGGAGCTGTCCTCCGCTCGTCGCTGCTCCGACAGCAGCAACCGAAGCTCGGGGTGACGTAGCTGCGCGCCATTAAATTCTCGTCAATGCGAGCGCATATAATGATGTTTACAGTCACTTGGCGCCTCCTCAGTTTTCACGCTTTGTATCACGCCGCTGCTGCGCGCAACAATCCGATAGCAGGGACGTTATTTCCCCTCCTCCCGAGATACTTCCAGATACGCTGCTTTAACGTTCGGTGCTTGTAGTAATGGCTCCGCATTTTAGATACGCGATGGCCGTAACGAGATACCGCCGCGTACCGAGGCGCAAGCGCGCGACGTGGCGTGTATAGTCTAACGTCAGAAATAATTTTGGCCTCCTTATTGGCTTTTAATTAATTACGCCCCGTAGTTGGTTCGCGGGGCAACTAGGGGTCACGAATTATTAAGTATCGCATGCTCTCGACGATCTAATTCGAGTTTTATTTGCTGACGGACTCCGCTCGACGGAAGAAAAAGCAAGATAATTTGGTAGGCGAGTCGGTACTACAGCATAATTATTTGATGTCCCGACGCAAATAACGAGCCATCGTGGACTTTTCGCAAGGACGAGATTCCGCGAATAAAGGAGCGCGAGCTCCCGCCTCTCGATATTGTCGATATGCATTATGAGGCATTATGAGAAGTTGGAGAAAGGACAGTGAGACTTATCGAATATTACTCGATTAATCGTCGCACTTCATCGACGTGATTGTCGCGATGTTCAAAATACCGTTTCGAGTTATCGAAGATTTCTAATGTACTTCGGTTCGGTTTTTGACTAGATGAGCGCGATATTTACAGGTTCGTTGAAAATGCGCCCCGAGTTAACGAGTCAAAAAGCTTAATTCTTGAGACGAAGACGGAGTTTGTGACAATTTATGAATTTCTTTCGCAGGACGCACATGCGAATATCATATCGCGCGACTGCCACGTTAAGGGGAGGAACGTATTAAATGTAACGATATTGATCGGCGGAGAAACGTGAATCCGATTTGCATCGCGCGGATGAAAATTGTCGGAGCAACCGACAGGCTGTTCGAACGTATCTTGGAAAATTAGCTTCCCGATATAATTCCGCTATTTTCTCTTTGGAGAACAGCGGTGCTATCTAGTATCTACCGCGCGCCACTGCCAACAATGCAATCTCACTCTGCGCTGCGTGCGTCCCACCCGGTGTCCTCGCGTCGTCGTCAGTAATTGAATTTTAAATGCGCTTAATTAGGTCACCGGTTAAGCTACCGATGTAATATCGCGATATAAAATTAAAAGCTTCGTTCTGATTTGGACGCAGCGGGATAAAGCTCCATTTACACCGCACGCAGCAGAAATTCGTCCGTCGTCTCTTTTTTTCTCTCTCTCTCTCTCTCTCTCTCCCTCCCTCCCCTCCCTCCCTCCCTCCCTCCCGTTCTCCTCTTTACATTTCGGCGAACGTGACGATAGATCACGCGAGAGTTTAAAGTGCCGACGTAAAGATGCCGGGAGGGCGACGAGTTTCCTTCGCACGCCAGATAGACTCGCGGATTCCCTCGACCTTCCCGCAGTGTCCCTCTCCTTTCATCGTCCCTTGCGCGAAGGATCGTCCCCTACTTCCCGTTCGATCGGACGTCCCCCGCCGCGTCGCGCATTCTCTCATCGCGTGACTTTTGATATGTTGTCACATGCACCCTGCATTTCGAATCGCGGATCGTCCCGGAATGGATCTGTAATCTTATCTGCGCAGATAAGACGAACGACAGTTTCCCATTGGAAACTCCCGGGCGCTTAACGTCGTGTTCGTGAGTTATTGCATACCTCGGCTAGGTCATTAATAACCCCGTAGTATGAAGATTGATTCGGAGACGCTCGAGAGCGAGAGCGAAAGGTAGAGAGCGAGAGATAGAGGGAGGTATATAGATAGATAGAGAGCAGAGAGAGAGAGAGAGAGAGAGAGAGAGAGAGAGAGAGAGAGAGAGAGAGAGAGAGAGAGAGAGAGAGAGAGAGAGACGAACAGCGACACGTCCCTTGCCGATTTTGCCAAAATTCTCGTAATATTTAATCAGTAGCCGAGGTCATACATTATGGTGAAGGGACTGTCTCTCGTCTTGGCGGCGAAGTATGCGCATCTGCAGCTACGTCGTCATCATCGCTAAATTGCATTAGTCGGTGAGAGAAGCACGCGACGTTGACTACACGGCCGCAAGGACTACTTTGACGCGCGCGGAAAGTCGTCCCCCCGTCTCGCGGACGAACGTCTCGCCGATTATCGTTATTACCGTTCCCGACGCGTTCCTGTCGGAGGAATCGCGCGCGACGAGGAAGACTCGCGCCACCGACGCCTCGTAAATCCCCGCTTACGACGCCTCGGCTTTTACGGTCATCATCCGGTCGCGGGGGTAGATCACAGCGACATCGCCGTGGCCGCGTTCGCGCGAGAGTTCGCGGATAACGCTTATTCATCGGAAGCGGTCGCCTTTGCCCTCTTTCTTCCTTCCTCCCTCCCGTTCTCCTTTCGCGCGCCCGCTCCCCGGAGACTTTGGAACTCGGAGTAACGATAATCCACGTAGAGCGGGCCGGCACGTGAAACGGTAAAATTGCGAAGCTTAATAGCGGTAATACCGTCGTGGCCGAGCCTTGTATGGCCTTAATAATGCAGCATATTGAGATTGGTTTCGCGAGCTCGAGGTGAGGAGGTCGGAGAACACGGGGGCGGAGGAGAGCCACCGCAGGGACCTGACCTAGGCATCCGCCCAAGTTATTCGCCCCGTTTTAATAATACACCGATGCGCCGATGCGCGCGACTCCGTGCGAGCCTAATATAAAGATCACGTCCGGGATCACGCCGGGATATTCCGCGCGAAACGCTCGCGTAAACCTTTGCCGCGACGTTTCAGGAGACACCTGGGATGACAATTTGCGTTGTCTTTTTCGTCTCCCATTCGGCTCCCCCCATCTAGGAAAGGCAAATTTGCCTTTGCGGAGTAAAAGTGAATCGCGGTGTGTACTCCGATTCTCGTGTCATAAAACAGCGAGGCGAAATTTCACAAGCGAGCGCTTCTCGCGGCCTTCGATACCACACGCGGCGGGATACTTCTCGATTCATCGAGACTCGCACTCGCACACATCCCTTGAAAGAGCGACGGCTTTTCGTTCGCGCGTTCGTTCGCCTGAATTTCCACGCGCTAACATCCCGCTGCGAGAGAGGGTGAGAGAAAGAGAGAAGAAGAGAGTGGTGGGAAAAGGGGGGGGGGATGCGCAGAGAGTTAAATATTCTGATCGACGTGGCGGTCGATAAATGACACAAATGCCTGACAAATTAATCGAACGCTTTAATCACCCGTTCGCCCATCCCCGATGCTGCGGCCGGGTTTCACGCGGCTGCCGTACGAGGAGATCGCGAATTATCTTCCCGCGCGAAAGAAGCGTGAGATAAATCGCCTTGATTCGGACATGCCGTCCCTCGTCGCCTGTTTTAGTTCGACATTGTTTCTTCTCTCTCTCTCTCTCTCTCTCTCTCTCTCTCTCTCTCTCTCTCTCTCTCTCTCTCTCTCTCTCTCTCTCTCTCTCTCTGTCTCTCTCTCTGTCTCTTTCTCTCTTTTGCTAAACGAGCCGACCCCGCGACCAGAATTGCGGCTCCTCGCCGATGGCGGAGAGCGGCGACGCGTCGGAAAAGAGGCGAGAAAGCACTCTAGGGCTCTACGATTTGGGAATAAAATGTGGATAATGAGAGTTCACGCCGTCGCCGGGCTGCTTGGTGCGCGGAGAGGCGAGGATGGGCGAGCGGGAGGGAGGGAATTGTTGGAGAAGAGCGACGAGGCGATATCGATCCCCGCGCGGTCGTGGAATGCATATATTCAATAAAGGTTTCTCACCTTCTTTGTTGGCGCTGCTCTTGATCTCCGTCGCCTTCGGTGCCGCCGATGGCTTCGGGATGGCTGAAATAAAAATCGTTCGTCTATTAATGACGGTCGTATAATTCCTTAAATATCGGCCGATAAATTTCGCTCCCGAACTCCCTTGCCGCCTTGTTCGTATTTTAGCCGGAATCATCTTATCTACCGAGCGCCCCGGACAATCGCGCACGGGCGGGCGTAGGAGGGGCGAAGGAGGGGGGGAGGGGGAGGAGGAGTTATAACGGCGCGGGGTTATACGGCGGACGTTTCCACGGCGATTTAACCGTGCCGATTTACTGCTAACACGTCCACCTCGTCTTAAATAAATCTTCGACTCGGGCGAAATTAAACAAAGGCGCGCAGGAGATTCGCGATTTATGCGCGCGCGCGCGCGTCCGCCCGCCCGCCCGCCCGCCTCCTCGTTCGCGCGCGAGGAGGTCGTTTCATTTTTAAATTATTCACGTCGCGAAGTCTCCGCGAGCTCCGTGATATCCGGGCCGGTGCGAAGCGCCGTTTGCGCGGATAGCACGAATGGAAGTAACGGTTGGGGCAGGAGAGAAAAGGGAGAGATCGCGCGAGCGCGAACGCGAGAGAGATGGAAGGATGGGACAAAAAGATCGGCCCACCCGGACGGACACGCGGGGGCTAGAAAGTGCACATCGGCTTACGGTATAATCTGATGGATCCCTCGGTCTCGCCCAACGAGTTTTTGCTAATGCACCGGTAGCTACCGAAGTCGCTCGTTGTCAGGTTCCTGACGATGAGCCTCATGTGCGCCCGGTAGCTGTTCTCCATGCTAGTCGTGGTGTACTTCTCGTTGGAGAGTATCATCTCCTCGCCCAGGAACCAGTAGCTCATGGCGCGAGGGTAGGCTTCCGTGTGGCAGTCGATCGTCGCGTCGGTGCCGATCGGCGCGCCCACCAGCTGGTTAGGTACGAAGATCATCGGGGAAACTGGAACATCGGCGGGCGCGGATGCGTTGCGTTTCAGTTTCCTATTATATTCTAATTTTGAAATATCACCGTGAAATATCATGATTTAGTTGAATTCTTTGCGTCTCATCGGAGTTCCTCGTATTACGTTACGTATATTCGAGCACGCGTGTTTGTGCGTGCGTGTGCGTGTGTGTGCGTCTGTGTCGAAATATGTAGAGTTCAATTGCGAGAAATACGATTCCGCTATCCCGCTTCGCGATATCTTTCCTCGACGCGTATATTTTTTATATTTGGATAAACGAGAGACTCTCTTTAGGATTATTTGAAATTCTGTTATCGAATAATCCATTATTGAGCCTCCCACGTCGAAGCTTAATGGGAAAGACTTCTGCAAGAATGATTCGATATTCGATTATTTAATATTCTCGATAGTTCATTTGCATTCGACAGGATTTGGAGATTCAAAGGAAATATAAATAACCTTGGAAGACGTATATTCTGATAGTTTAAATATCAAGGAGGCACCGAATGCTATCAGACGATGAATCACTTTTATATTTCGGTTTATATTTCGGAGAGCGTTAAATCGCAAATATTATAGATAACGTAAAACGGTGCCGTCGAGCTCGTCCCACATGCACACAAGCATCTGCCGAGCGATCATAATAGTTGTCGACACGCATGGGTGAGCAGGTCGCGAGACGTCGCGCGCGATTCCCAATTTTCCGTATCGATCGGAGCGTGCGCGCGAGGTTCATTGCGTTATTTCGCTCGCGCGATCATCGTACCAGAATGATTTTGAATAATGGCAGCATTCCAGAATCCCAATGCTGACTGTTATCCTTTCATTTCCATGAGTTTGAAAGAGAAATATGCTCTCTTGAGTCTTCCTGTTCTTGATGTATTCACATCTATTCGTATGACTAACTCGAAAATGTGCTTTTTGTTTCAGATCTAATGGAGCTCTCGCGACTACACAGTGGATGCGGTGACTCGGAAATGCTGTTGATGCAGTTGCCGGTACCGGAGGTTCCGGTTCGAGCCAAGCGGGATCGGCTCGAAGGTATAGCTTCGTATATTTTCCGTAACACTTTTTTTAACCCTCGAACACTAGGATGTTTTTGTTACCTCCTACTAGGACGGGTTACTAGGACGGCTGAATTTTCACTCACAATTTTTTTTTAATTATTTTTCTTGATTATTTTTCTTGAGCGCACATGAACTACAAATATTTATGAGCATTATGAGTCCTAGCGGGATACCGCTGTGTAATGTGCTGCTATCTAGTGGCAGTTAAAACAGTTAAAACATATCATTGGTGAACTTTCACGCCCTTAGTGTTTAAGGGTTAGTCCCTGTATACCTCTACTCTTGCATTGAACCTTTTGCGACCGTGAACTGAGGCTCATAGTTGCCCAAGTGAAAAATTAAGATCGATCTGCAATGATTGCGAAAGGTTAATGCGCTTGTATGCACGTATATTTTTCTCACAAAGCCATCGACCATCCTATCTGATCTGTCCAACGTCACATTTTTTGCTTCAGATTCGCAGCAGTACGTGGCCGATCCCGAGTTCCGGCATCTCGGTGAGTCAGAAACAAAGCACGAAGAGTGACTTAATTTTTCAAGGTGGTGGGTATTGCTAAAGTCCGTTAATCAGTGCGATTTAATTGGCTCGTAGATCTTCGCGTGTACACTGAGAGAAAAGAACACATTATTAATCTTTCTAGAAATTATATTTCGGCCGCGAGCGATGTTTTCTGTGGTCCTAAAGTGATAGAAACGACATATGCATAAAATTATTGTCGAAAACACTAAAGTGTCACTACAAATGCGTTTTCCGCGATTGCAATAATTTCAATGTAATACAATTGCGACGCGTAGAGAGAGAGAGAGAGATACCAGGCAGTTTTCTCTCAGTGTAGCGCAATTTTGCGCTTGTTTTATACAGTCCACTAAAATGCACTGCTCGAGAGATCTTTTTGACAACCGTCTTATTTATTAGAGACGTCCGAATTTATTATTTTTAATACAAGCTATTCGACGGAAATACTTATTTAGTTCGACCCCCGGTGTATTTCAAGCGGTGCAAAACGCGCGTCAGAATTGCACCTCAAATTGACGCAGCAGAGTTGCGCCTCAAATTGGCGCATCAGAATCGCCGCGTCGCTCCACGCGGAATTCGCGATTCCGCTCGCTTCGTTCGCGATCAGCTTTACGAACGTCGCGCGACAATCGCCAATTGTTGAAACGTCTCGCACACATAGCACGGAGTTATGCCGTCATTTCGGTCGAATCGAAAGTTAGTCAAGAATTAAAATAATGTTCGCGAGAGACGAATCTCGTTTCATTGAAAGTGCCACGACGTGTACGATTTGAGATCCGAATTTGTTTCCGATTTTTTCCGCGCGATGACCCGCGCGCGTGTACTCTCGGAATTGGTCGTGTACTTTCCGTTAAACCGTCGAGCCGTGAACGTCCGGTTAAACTGCTAAAACAATCGCGATGCCGAGCGCAGTGAAATGAGTAGAGTGCGATCGACGTGGACGACGGTTGCACGCCGAGGAGGTTGGACCTGGACCTGGACATCGTGGGATATCAACGCCCAGTGCTGTGAGTGTGCGATTGAAACGCTGAAAATGCGTCACCTAACGTAATGCATATTAACGTAGCGTAGTGAATCGCACTGATTACCCATAAAAATATAATCAGAACACAAAGATATTCTTTCTTTCCCGCTGACGTGTATCTCTAACTTCATATCTCTGTAACTTTTGAATCGGATACGGATAATCAAAATCTGCAATCTGTTGTACTGAATTGTGCCAGACGAGTACAACAATAAACGACATGTTCCGAAAATTGCACAGCTTGCAAAAAAGTTTACAAAAAGTGACGGGCCAAAAAGATATGTTTTACATTTTCGAAAATTTGAAAGTAGTGCCGCGGGTTGTGCTGAGAAATCCGCGAGCATCCCGAAGCCCGCGCTCACGCGGGGGCAGGTATTCTCTTCGGCTTCCGACGAAATCCAGCCGCGCGAGAGATATCCTTTGCCTATTGTCCGCGGCGTACGCGGGGCAGCGCGCGGCGCGCGATGTAAAATTAAAAACGCAACGTGCACAGCGCGCGGTAATATCAAGTTTCATCGTAACGCAACGTAACACGGCGGATCAAGTTTGCGCTTTCTGAGATGGCGCGCCGCGAAAATGCGCCGCGGTCGGGAAACGAGTTGGGAACAAAGTCTATTATGGTTACAAGTCTAACGCGCCGGCGTTAAGGCTACGCAATGAAGAGTTAAGGCAGCGAGCGAGAGACGACGTTCGCCGTTCGCGACGATCGCGCGACGTTTCCGTCCCGCGCGCCCCCGTTCGTATTCCTCGCGCGAGCCGCGCCATTCCGGGCGAACAATTTTCTAACTCGGGGGCTTACCCAGAAACGGCTCCTTCTTCGTTTCGAATTAATCCGACGTCGGATGCGCGCGCTCGTATTACGCCGCCGCCGTCATTGTCGGCAAGTGTGTGCTTTGGTAACGGGTTAAATTAAAGTTGCCAACTCCGACGGCGGTGTGTGAAACAATAAAGGAATAATAATGCGCTCCGCCGGGAGGGGAGGGCAACGGTGTAAAACGACACCGGAAGCTGCGAAGCTCGTTTGAGCTGCGCAAACGAGAGGACGAACCAAATGCTCGCCTCTGTCTTCCTCCTCCCGGGCAAAGCTCTTCTTCTTTCCGCGCTTCTTGCGCTTCGGCGCGGCATCTTTCACCGGAGATGGATCGTCGTGTCCCGATCGGCAGGAATAGTCATAACGGGAAAACGCAATCAAATTATTATCAGGATCATCCAAGCGTACGTATTTCTCGCGGAGAATCGCGAGTATCGATTTTTCCAAGAGACAGACGCGATGTCTAGTCGATCGTCTGTCACACCGCGCGCGGTTGATGTGCGAAGCGAGCATCGGAAGGTATCCACGCGTAAGTGGAAATGTATAGTAAATGAGTGAAAAAAAGAACATGAGAAGTGAATGAGAAACGACGACGCGCAATGTAGGGCGAGCGAAAAAGCGAGGAGTGAGGAGAACGGAAGGACGTTCCTAACGAAGCGAGTTGCTGCAGCCTGCTGCTTTCCCGGCTGCTAATCGACAACGCGGAACGCGGACAGAGATAGAGACGCAACGCGGACAGAGATAGAGACGCAACGCGGTTGGACCCGCGGCGCGGGGGGAGGGGGAGGAGATATAGACGCAATCGATGGTAGGAAATAGGGAGAAGTGTGCATTAATTAAAGTCAACGCTGGCAATTTGTGGATTTGCGGTGAGCCGGGATGCTCACCGCGAGCTGCGCTGATGTACAGGCACGGTCAAGTGATCATGACTCCGCGCGCGCGAGTGCGCATTGTTCACCGCCGACGCGCATTGTTTCTCGTTATCGGGCGCGCGAAAAACGTACACCGCGTCGATAATTCGGGAAACACAGCAGGCCGAAAATGAAAACGCGAACGCGAGCGCACGCTGCGCCGATGGTGTCGCGCGTCGACTCGCGACGGTGATTTCACTTTTTTATTGTTCCTCTCTTCATCTCGAAAAGAGATCTCCCAGCGCGACGAGGCGACTTTGTTATTTGCGACTGTAATCGCACGGCATGAAAGAGTGACACGCAGCAGAGATGTCGTCGGGGAGCGTCAGCGACAATAATCTCACATGTACATTGCTGCTATTAGCTTCTTGTCGGAGCAACAAGCTGCAGTTAGCGCGGGAAATCATTAAAATTCTCCGTCTGAGATTCATCTGTTCTGTTCTCCCGGCGTAAGACCCCTCCCGTTTCTTTCGCGATCTCGAAATAAACGCGCGCGTCTCTCGGCGCAAATTCCGAATACGAGTTTTTAATACGAGGCGCCGGCCGAAGAATCCCGTCGTAATTTGAATTCCGCTCGTAATTACGCTCAATGAAGAAAGGGTATTACACTTCGCAACAACGGCCACGGGTCAGCCCTCGCGAGCGAGCGAGCGCGACGACGGGGAGCGAGCGGCGGAGCGAAAATGTAACGTAAAAAGTCAACCCGCTAAATTGTGCATGTCTCATCAACATGCCTGATGAACTAACCCACCACTTGCGGCGACGGCGCATGGAAACGTGTGCATACCAACCGAATTATGTCCTCATTCCCGCGCGGGCGCGCGCGCGTCTTCTCCCTTCGCCGCCTCGCTATGCTTTATGCAGCGGCACCATTTTGCCCGCATTGCAACGGGCGAGTGTACGGAAAACGCGATATACTGGGCCATGTACTATGTACATCTGTCGCTCCATCTCCGACAGCGGCGCGAGCGAGCGAGAGAGCGAGCGAGGGAGCGCGCAAGCGCGCGCGAGTGAAAGTACGGAAAGATTGTCACGACAAAGCGCGATGCTTTTGTCGACGATTTAAGCGTGTGGTTCGTCCGAAATTGTGGACCCTAATTTTCAAAATGACCCCCGACTCGCAAAGCACGAGCGAGCGAAGGGAACGCTTTTTTGCGACGCGAGGCTCACCGGCGAGGCGGATTCTCACGAGCGATTATAAAATCGGCGAACGGTACTTCGCGGAACGTGAGCGTATTTAATTTAACACGTGAAGGACAAAGTGTTCGTTTGATATTTGCAAGTAATAATCGCACGGCGGAAGAATTACGGTCAGGATACTTTTATAACAGGTGTTGCTGCAGTGTTACCGCCGGTATAGATTATTATTTTTTCGTTAGAACAACGAGAAGCTTCTAGGTATAGCGGGGCCGAATATAGTTTTAATGTTATTAGGTAAAAAAGTTCGTTTTATACATTAAAGATTAAACAAGGGCAGAAGTCTTCAGAAAAAATGTCGGTATATGAATAAACGTGTTACAATCGATATATGAATAAATAATTGATAACTCTTCGTTATCAATAAAGATGGTTTTTTCTGAACGTGGCCTCTTCAAGTGATTCGTCTCGCCAGAAGAAAATTTTTTTGAACCTCTTCTGTGCAGTCTGTGCAGTCCTTTTTAGCATATTTTCTTCAAACACGCTACGCGTGTCTTACGACATACTTTTGCAGTCTTTGACCCGAGTTCAAATTCACAAAGCAAATATGTTCAAATTACATTTTATTCAACAAACATTTTAAAAAACATATGAATAATCATAAACCAAGAGACTATACCGCGACAAAGTCATCACCAATTAACTGACGCAAATCTGTACTGTATGATACGCATAAACATTTGGTAAGATTTGACAGCTCGACTTGCATCGAATCCAAACCGCACGAACTTTTTTGGCCAACTAATAGTAATATTAACTATTTTTTTTTCTCAATGCTCACAGATTGCACAGATTGACATGGAGAAAAATCCGGAAAGGATTGCGCTTCGATTGGCAGGAATTGATATGTAATGTCCTTCTCTTGCTTTCCTTTGTCGAGAATTCTTTTTACAGTGTATTACGTCAAACGGTTGTTAGAGCTCTGATTCTAGAAAGACGCCTCGACGTTTTGCATTGATCGGCCACTGTCTTCCTACTTTTCTCTCGTCGTCGTCGTATTCCGCGGTCTATTATCTTCCTCTTGAGTTACGTACGACTATTTTGGAAGATCGCGCTCAAAGAAAAATGGAATATTCAATTTAATCCGATATACCGAAGTACGGAAATACCGTGCCTATTTTATATTCTCATATACCATATTTCTCGTTAATCAATATAAAATTTGCATTAACATTTACGAGCCGCGAGTCGACAACGAGAATATGTATATATATATATTTATTTATGTATTTATTTATTTATTTATTTATATCTAATATCCATTTACACGTGACATAATTATGCACGGACGACGGATTTGCACGACGAGAACGTCCAAATCAAGCGCAAGATCTCAGAATCGCAACCTCGTGAAAACCGATACATATCTCGAATCAAATTAAACTTACGAAATAGAGCGTCCGATTGCATCCACGGCATTCGTTAATTATCAATTTGCCAATGGCATCACCGAGAGATATTTGATTTCAATCCTCGATCGACAAACCTCCACGTTCATGAGAGAAGCGATCCGCTTTAGTCGTATCAATGCACCATCAAAGATTACTATCCATTATCGCCACTATATATACAATATAATATCGATCGAATAGAGGACCGGCACAGATTGCAGATCGACACAGAGTCGTAATGCTGATGAATTATTGATTGGCGCGTACAAGAGAGAGAGAGAGAGAGAGAGAGAGAGAGAGAGAGAACAGGGAAAAGGCAAGAGCAAGCGCGGCAAGGAAGGTTCGAGGGCCATATCGGCAATCAGATCACGCCGAAGAATTTTCCTCTCGGTTCGGTCGTCTCGTTACATACAATGAAACTTTTACAAGACGGTCCCCCGCAAATCCCTACGCACGTACATCGTGCATCACAGGTGGCGCGATGTTGGCGCAGGAAGACGATTTCTGAAGCGTCTGCTATGACCCGAAACGCGCCGCGCCGCGCCTGGGAAGCCGATGTGTGTTTCCCCGCTTGTCTAAATAAAATATGTCCCCCGCCTTCTAAATATTCAAGAGATACCGCCTGGCCTCTCTCTCTCTCTCTCTCTCTCTCTCTCTCTCTCTCTCTCTCTCTCTCTCTCTCTCTCTCTCTCTCTCTCTGTAACGTCGGGCCACGTTCGTACCTACCTACCTACCTACCTATCTACCTAGCTAACCCATCTAGCCACCTTCCATCCCTCCTGCCTTCTTTCCTCAACAGCGCGCTCGCTCGCTCGCTCGCACGCAGCACGGAGCCGCCGCAACGCGGGTGCAAGCATACGAAGTGACACGAACGAATGAAACGCATAAAAGGGAAAAATGACCAGGGCCGACGAGACGGCTTGCGCGGGGCTTCCCGTATTTCCCCCGGGTTTTCCCGACGGCGTTTTCCCTCCGACATCCCTAACCACCCACTCGCTCGCTCGCCCGCCCACCCGTCCTCGCGTGTTGCCCTATCGCGCGTCCTCCTCGCGCTCTTGTCTGGGTACACGTATCTGACGGAGCACGTGCGCCCGACTGCGGCAACGTGTGTGCACGCGTGTGCTGCAATTCGTGAAATGAAATTTAAACAATACACGAGCCACCGGGATCCGCCGCCGCCGCCGCCGCGGCGCGGCTTGCCCACGTGCGCGCGCGAGCGTGCTCGTACATATGACGAGGTGTTTAAAATTTATTCAATAAATCGTCGGCCATGTTGGATACGTACCAGAACCGGTGCCGGCGATCTCTCTCTCTCTCTCTCTCTCTCCCCCTCTCTCTTTCTCTCTGTCTCTCTCTCTCTCTGTCTCTCTCTCTCTCTCTTTTTCCGCGCCGGACTCCTCTGCGAAATCGCCAGCGCGCGTGCGCGCGCGCGAGTAAAAGCGTCTCGCGGACATTAGGCGGGCGTGATCGCGGCCGACCAATTAATGCAACTTATTATTATACTTGTGAGCAAGCCTAAAACGCGCGTGCTGTTGCCGCTTCGCATCTCACGCGCGTGCACACGCGCGATGTAACTGTTTCCCGCCGCTTTGACGCACGTAGCGTGGCGTGCGACGCATTAGCGGTGTGAATTACAATAACGCGATTTGCGGAGGCGCGTTGTGAAATTTTCACCGTGGCAATTGGCGAATACTTTCTCGCCGAGCATTGAGACTCGGCCATGAATTCTATGAATTAAATGCCCGCGTCGTTAAGCGTTTATTGCCGCGCATTTAGCGTGCAACCTCGTGAAATTATCATTATCGCATCACGCACAGCGCACAGCGCGTTCGTCACATCGCCGGCAAAGAGAGAGAGAGAGAGAGAGAGACTGATGTATGTACGCCTCCACGGCTCAAATGAGCGTAGGGTGCGTGCGGATTTCCCGCCGCTCGTAGTGGTCGCAGTAATAATGCGCGGCATGCTCACGCAACGAACTCACATTCGACATCCACGGTGATCCTCTTGCTGACCGTCGGCGGCACACCATTGGTCGCGATGCAGAGATAAGCGCCCATTTCGTTGCGCGTGATCCTCGTCAAGTTTAATTGCTCGCCATCATACATGGCCACTGAAACCAAAAGCGGGAATTGATTGAGCTCGGTCGAGGGCGCGAGTGCAGTTTGGGGAAACGGACAGGCGCCTTCGCGCTAACCGGCTAAACAGCGTTTCAATCTCGTTATCTCGCGAGCGCGTTGGCTCTCGGGCTTGTACGCGAGATATTTTGGCTGGAAATTTAGCAGCCGGATCTGCGCGAGTTTGCCTCGCGCAGATCCGTTTGCGCGGCTGAAGCGAGACGCGATCAATGACGCTGGTCTTCGACTATCGAGAATTATCGAAGCCGGGACGACTCGCGGGACGGAGATCGCGAAGCACGTAAGTCGAGTGACGTCGCCGCAACCGTAACGTGTGTGTATCGATCCGATATGAAAGTCCCGGAACGAAGTAGCGAACTTGCGAAAGCCCGGGAATACTCGACTTTTTATTGCCGCGTGATTTACGCCCTCTAGATATCTACGTCGGTCTATTATGAAAGTTCGCGGCGGAGCTTATATCTTAGAAGTAAGATTATAGTAAAATTATAGGAGTCACGAGCGCGAATTGGAGAGAGGGGAGGGAAACGGGGAAAAAGGCTGGGCTGGGAGAGGAGAGCGAGAGGAGCGGGGGATGCAGCGGAGGGCTAATAGTCGAGAGTCGTCAAACTTGCTCGATAACGTTGGGATTTTTCTGCCATTAGGATCTTTTTTGTCGGGGCAAGTTTCGTGGTGAAGTCACCACGTGATTGTTACGAGTAACTCACGGCGACGCGGCTGTTAAGCGCGACTCGCGTGATTTCGTGATTTCCGCTGTCATTATCGGCGAAGATGAATGCGTCGGCTTCGTGTCTACGTACTGCATCGGCTGACGATTTACGAGGCAACTTGCGCTGTCCTTTTATTATGCGGAGAAAGGACCAGCGAGCGGGGAGTCCTCCTTTCTCGGTCGCGTCGCGTCGAGTCGCCGCTCTCTCGTTTGCCGCGCGGACGGAAATTCATCGCTCGCGCGCTCATCGCGTTGTTAATACAAGCAACGACCGACCGACTGGAGAACGCTGAATCTCTCCGTCTCTTCCTCTCTCCCTCGAGGAGAAACCTCCATCGCGCGGCGACGACTAGGAGGAGAGAGCTTTCTCTCCCTCTCGCGACTAACGCACGCGCCTCGCCGCGGAGGATTTGCAGAATTGATCAACGCAATTAGCTCTAGTCGCGCGGGTCGACGATGGTATTTATATTTCATCAACGTAGCTGCTAATGGGCAAACTTTGCCAAATTATATTTATGATACTTGACGCAAGAGTTTGACGACCGAGCTGTACGCACCGCTGTCGCGCAACAATTGAAATTTGCGCGCGGCCGCCGAATATCGTTGTGTGCTCGCGTGTGTATCGCGTTGTTACAGACCGCCGATAAATTACCGCCCGACTTGTGGCGGTATTGATGGCGGAACGGAATCCGACCGATCGGGAAAGAAGAAGCGGCCCGCCCGGAGAAATCCGACGGAAGGAGAAAGGATTCACGCGCGGTTAAAGCCCGACGTGATATTTACCGCTCTGTAATGACATCTGCTACCCCCTCGCAGCACCCGCGGAATCCGACAGCGCGCGGCGTGCTTCAACAATCGCCGAGGCGATTCTTAATTCTTACCGACCTCTCGCGCCAGCACCTCGCGCCCGCGCGATTGACGGGCATCTCTCTCTCTCTCTCTCTCTCTCTCTCTCTCTCTCTCTCTCTCTCTCGAACAATACGGTATTTTTTAACGACGCCATTGTGACGTTATTCCGCGCATCTAACGCGCGCGCGGCGCGTTAACCACCGACGGAGCCGATGGTTCCGCGCGCGCACCACTCTCGACGACCGTTAGCTCCGGTACGGTAAGCGATACCGTAAGCCTCGGGCGATCGTCAGAGAGGGAGCGAGGGAAAAACGCAGGAGCGAGAGAGAGAGAGAGAGAGAGAGAGCGAGAGAGAGAGAGAGAGAGAGAGAAGAGGGGCAATCAACGTCGATTCTACGGGGCTTAACGCGTCCGCGTAATGACAATTAGCGAAATCGAAACAAACGCCGGGCCATAAAAGGAGCCTCGCCCCGACGATACGTCCTCCTCCCCTTTCTCCTCCTTGTCCTCCTCTTGGTCGGTGACGTTCATAAATCTTTTGGCCGGTTTACTCCGGCTTTGCTCGCCTCCTGCTCGCGATTAACCCCCCGGCCATTAGAGCGGGCGGCGATGTTTCTTTCACGAGACACATGCCCTGCCAAGTCCGCCTTGCCACACGTACTAACCGAGAAAGGACGCAGGACGTGCAGCGCTGGATTGGCAGGCTGGCTGGGCAAGGCGCAGCCGATCGATCGGCGCGAATAATTGAGAGAACGCGCAAAATCCAAGCTTGACGAGCGGTGATCTCGTGGATACCGAATGACGCGATAACACCCGACGATAAACTCGACGTAGCGGACGGGCAGTCGTGAAAGCGAAGGAAAGTACGCGACGAGAACGCGGGAAGCGTCTTCGTCAAAGATCGGCCGGAGGCCGATCGATGCCGAGATCTTGTCTCGCATCTTCACCTCGTCGCATGGATCTTGTTTTGCACTCGATGGCCGCACTGTACGACGCGCCGGCGATTGATACGTTCGGACGAAAGCCGACGGGAGGGTAGAGACACAGAGGGGCGGGTGAAGCGTAAATGTGGAAATATTAAACATACAGATGTGTGTAAAAATATACGCGCGCCCATGGCGCGTTTATAACTGCAGATAAACGGCCGTTATCAAAATTTAACATCGTGGTCCCTGAAATCAGAAAGGACGATTATATTCCGCGAAAATCCGGGCAAGTAATGCGCTCGCGTTGCGCGAAAGAGCGACCGTGAAGCGTGACGGGCGAAACTCGGGAATTTACTCGCGGATCCAGCCGCGAATTCGCAACGCAACGACGTGAGAAGTGGCAAATGGGGAAATAATCGTAACGAGTAACGAGTGCAAAAACAGTCGCGCGCGGCGGCGCGGAGCCGCAAAGAGCTGAGTCTTTCTGTAGCTCGGCGATAATATTCTTTACGCTCGTTAGGTACGCGCGTCTGGAGCGTAACCATTGATCGGCCATCGATTGATACGCCTCAAGCAGGCTTCTTTTAGCTACCTCGCGGATGCAATATGTCGGATAAAATATTTGCAATGAGTTTTTGATCGTGCCGGCATCGGTGCTCGATACAAGTTCATTTCGCCATCAACTCATCCGATATTAATGTATTCCGCCGTTCTTCAACGGGCCCGGGAATATTTAGATAGCGAGCGGCTCTCAAAGCCCGGATGCAAATCGATACACTGGATTGAGCAAACACTGATAGTTATTTTTAACGACGATTCGCAATGAAACTTGCGCTCGCCCCGACAGAGGCAAAGGGGCATACCCGCGCGCATGTGAGATATAAACATACAGGACGGACTCTTGCCGATATTAATTATTGGTGGTAGATGAAAACATTTTTTGTAGATGCGTACGACTGACGAAGGCGAAAACTCATCGGTTCGGCGGGAGGGGGAGGGAGGACCGCCTTTATATGAAATATAATAATATATACGGCGATATGAATACGCGGGTTTATGCGCTCGCTCGCTCATTCAAGCGCGTACGATATACGGAGCTGTCAAAGGAAACGTTAATAATAGCTTGGCAAAAACGCGGACGATGTAGAGATGTGCGTGACATGGAAAATGCGATACGCAATCATCGGGGGACGAAGATATCGCATTGTCGATGCGAAACCGCTCGTCCGTTCGGGCGTCTTACGTCCCGTCGCGAAAGTAATGAGCACGTAACCGAGGCGACGAGACCGACATCGCGAATATCGACATGAGAAAAATCCCGTCGCTTTCATCCCGTCGCGAAATACTCTCTCGAAAAAAAAAAAAGAGAGAGAAAGAAAAGCACGATCGAGTATAATTAAATGTGTTCCCGATGGCTCTTTTGACATATTTTTTTTCACGCGGCAAGCGGAAAGTTTAATTTAATTTGGCTGCGCTCTTGCAACAGCCTTTTTCACTCCATTCGTAATATTAGTGACTTTTGACGTTTTCGAAAATGCAAAAACGTCGCGGGAAACAAGTCAACCTGAATTATTCCGCAGAGGCGGGCGATTTTCGATGCCGAACCTCCGCCGCGCGAAGAGTCGCGGCTCATTCGCAGATGATCGCGAATATCCAAAGGCGAGTGATACTTGTCGTTCGTCATAACTCGCTCTTATCGGCCTTATCTAACTCAAAGCGTTTCCATTCAATGCTCTTCGGAGTCATCTATTCGCGGCTCATCCATTAACGACCATCCGCCGAGCGGTGCACAGGAAGCCGCGGGAACTCCACGGCGACGCGCGTATTAATAAAACGCCGACTAATCCGCGGAATTTTACCGCGTCACGATCCCGCGCTGACGCTCGCTTGTGCGCGTGCGCGCGCGCAAAGGGTATTAAATAATATTACGAACTATACCGGGCTATACGGGCGCGGTATACGTATGCACGCGCATGCATACACAGCCCGCCGAAAACTTGGAGAGATAGTGCGGACGAGCGAGCGAGAGCGAGAGCGAGAGCGAGAGCGAGAGCGCGCGGTCCTGGTTGCCGCTCCGTCATGAATTTGTATGAAGCTTTAGAGGGGGCTCAGATGCCCCGGAGCGCGGCTTTGCAGATGTTTGAACAGAAATTCCGGCCTTTTACGATCCCGCGGTGCGCTGGTGCGAGCGGGACGAGCGACATCCACGGGCGACGCGCGGGAAAAGGTGAGAAGGCGTATATCACCCCTCCGCCGCTGCCCCTCGACGCGGCGAGGGACGGAAAGCGCAAGGGAGTGGAATATGAAAGACTCAAGAGGGCAGCGTCAGACGAAGACTACGACTACGACTAGTACTACGACGACGACGACGACGACAGCGGAGGAGGACCATGATGAAACCGTGCGCAACAAAATGGTTAGACTGGGAAAATTGCCGGCCGGGGATTATAAATAGGCCGCGTTGCTCTGTTGCGCGCTCGTCCGCTCGCTCGCT